AATTGAGAGTTTCTACAAATTTAAGATACGTAAATATCAATTGTGTACAACATTTCATATTCCAAGCAACAATCAACTACCAACTGAAATTTCCAATTTCCCCAAATCTAAGTCTACACTCGTCCCTTTAAAATATAGTCAAATTAAACTTCGAAAGTTACGATCTTTCGACACCCACAGTTATGGAACCGATGTATTATCGGTATATCGGTAATATCGGTAATAAAGAACCGAAACCGAAACCGATACAGCTTAGAATCGATATACCTATGGACCGTTGTTCGAAAGAAGATCCCCGTGATGGCACAGAGGCAAAAGGAGTCTTCCGCTGTATGCGTTGCGTGACCCGATCAAATTAGTGTATGTAACCGTTCCGACAAATCGCACACTAGACCCAAAAACACACTATGTAGATTCCAACCACTTAGACCCGCATTCCTTCCAGGGTTCTTCTTTGAAACAACAGGATATACTAACAGTTATGACTTTATTTCGATTCTCCATAACAGTTTCAAGAACCGAAACCGATATCATAACTGTTTTCAACCCCCAGTATAAACGGTCTCATCTTGCCTGTAAGGATCTTTGCCCCGAAATGATCCGCGTCTAAACTGATAACATAAACGCAACCTAACCGGGCGCTGTTCGCGTACGGTGTCGCTAAACTTGAGCTAGTATGCATCGAGCGTGGGGTATATCGCCTCAAGTGTAATTTTATTATCTTTCTCGCGTACCGACGCGCCTTTCAAGCCCCTTACCGCTTCGCGTTACGGCGCGCGCCGCGCCGGTTTCCGCGCTGTTATTTAAGCTGCGCGCTTCACCTTTCGCCTTCTTTTTTTCCATCCCTTTACCGACCACCGACCCTACCCGTCTTCCCTTCTTCCTCCGCCAGCCCATCCGGCTCTCGCCGCGGTACCCGGCCCTTCCGCGGGTTCTTCTTTTCTAATACAGACGCCCCCCGGAAGCCTCCCACCCCTGGCACCGTTGAAATTATGCAAAGAAGGAGACGATGGCTATCCAAGCCGGCCCTGGGCGTTGCTTTCGCCTTTGCCATCGCATCGCGGTTATACCCCCAACCATGCACGTTAGACAGGTGGGGCAGCCAGGTACCCGGCTAGGCGGCTGTGCATGTTCGACTGGGTCGGGACCGACCGTTTTTAAGACTGCGTCTCGCGGCGCGGCTCCTCGAGGTTTGCGCTACGGACGATTGAGAGAAAACGTTCCGTGCCTAAGTGGCGGGAATATGGTGCAGTTTTTTCCGGGTACACACCGCCAGCGGAACCGTAAAAGGGAATTTTATTTTTATTCGTTCGTTCGTTCGTTCGTTTCTACCTCCCTCTCCTACCTTGCATTCTATGACTTCTTTTCGGCTTTTTTCTCTACTTCGTCCGTTTGAGTTCCTTTGACTTGCGTTGCTGATGCGTCTTCGAGTTTCTAAGGTGTTTTGGGTTTCAGAAAGTTGTTCCATTTTTTTTTATTTTTGTGTATGTTTCTTTTGTTTGTATTGTAGATGATACGGTTTGGTTTAAAGAATGTTGTTAGTTTCAGTTTTTTAATTTGTTTTGACTTCGCGTTCTTTTGACTTAAGTTGCCGGTAAATGTTAATTTGTTGCATCGTGATCATGTCCCGACTGGCCAGGTAACAAAATACAAGGTAAGAGTTTTGAAAAAATTGTTTCTGTGCTCAAGAGAAAAATTCAAGATGGAAAGAGGACAGCCCGGACGCTAGGAAATGTCGGTGCGGTATATGGGCAACTTTCATCTTTAAAACATAAATGCTAAACTATCTTCTTTGAGGTCCTACATATGAGAACTTGTTAATAAATATTTCAATGTTAATAATCGTTCCTTTATAATCTTAAGGAAGATTGAATGATGAATTATTGAATGAATGGCGAATCGTTACGTCACCTATATCTGTACAATAAATGTTTATTTTGTTTTTATGTTCTGAAAAATATAGTATTCTTGTAGACCGTTTTAGACTAAATACAACGTCGGTAGAGTTGGCATTGAAAATCACTGACTGCACTTTGTGCCGCGCAATAATAGTTATATTATATTTTATTAATGAACAAGTCGAATCTGTATTGTAGCTTTTATTGGTAGTTTCTATCACTTTGAAAAAGATCGCACGCAGTACTTAAATTTTGCCTCTAAAAGGCAATTTAGAAACTGTTTAGACATGTTTAATATAGGTATATTATTCATCCAATTGATATTAATTATCATTAAATTGATATTATTAAGTTACTATTAAATACATACTGGAAAGTGTTGTTGGAAACGTGTGGTACCTTTATTTATTCCAAAATAAATTCCTGTCAATTTCACTTTTGAGAGCAGAAGTATCAGGTATTGGAAACTTACGCTACCCGTCCATGTGACAAAAACTTTCCAGAGTCATCCTTTATGATCACTGCAACTCTCTCTGTATCCGAACATCCATTATCCGAATACAGTAGAATTCAATTTATGCCAACTTGTCTGGGAACATGGCCTCCAATACTGTCTATTCTTTTGTATAACAGAAGTTGATGTTCAGGTAACTGGATTAATACTCGGAACGTTCTATTTATCGTGGCTACTCCAAATATGTCCACTATTTCTAACAATATAAAAGAAAAATTTCAAACAAAATTTATCTAGATTAGGGGTTACAGCTATATATTAAAATTCTTCAGTTTAAATTATACTTTTAGGAATTTGCGAATCATTATAGATTTTTTAAATAATACCATATATTTTCATATTCGTATATTTTACATAACATACTGAAATACATATTATATACAAGTTATATAATATATAGCGTATACTTTAATTAATTAACTGATATTTTAATATTAATTTGATTTGAATGATTTAATCATTGTTTATGTTTCTTCTATACACTGTTGGGTAGTATTATGAAATCAGTAAATGCATGATTTAATCGTGACCCATTTAAATAAGTACCTGATTGTTAATTGTGATGTCTCATACCTTTGGCCGATAGTTTAAACTAGAAGCAGTTAAGTCATTACTGAACAATGAAAGAAACACGGTTGTGGATGTTACTTTAACTGCCCTTCGTTAACGAAAAACCATTTGACCATTGAATACAATGGTTCCGAATACACGTATCCCGTTATTAATAATCGTAGAGCGAGTGCTTTCCATTTAAACGAAGTGGTTACATAACAGTAATTCAGTGTTTGGGTTAATGGAAGAATGGTTTATTACCAAACCATAAAAAGTAAAGTAAACGTAATAAATGTCGAGGTTTTTGTTGCGTATAAATGCGCAAGAATTTTTTTTTCACACGTATAAAACGATTGACTGGTGAAAAAATTGAATGCCCCATGAAGGACTAAGCGTTAATCCGTTTTTACGGGGAAATAAAGCCAGAAGAATCCAATAAACGGATTTCAATAGACTTATACGAAAACCTTTAACGTGGAGAGGACAAAAAACACAGAAATGACAGAACTTTATTACTGGAAACTTCAATCTCTCGCGTGTATGTATGTAAGTACTTTCGCTTTGAAATAGTAAATCAAATTGATAACATTCGAGTTGATTATACATTATAAACTGATCGGATTATACCGATCCATTACTAACTGGCTAAGCAATGTATGCCTTTGGCTACTTTCACAATTAGTCATAAAATTAAAAAATTAAAAAATTATAATACAAATTACAATATAATTACAAAATTAGTAATTGAAATATTACAAAATAAGTAAATAATCGTACCGCGTTGCTAATTATATGAGAATTCAATTATAAAGTTACAAAAATTTTAATTATTATCTTGCAATTGAAATTCTATAGAGTAAGTAAATAATTGTACCACGTTAAAGTAATACTGCAACTTATATAACTGTCTTCTCAATGTAAAAAGAAATATTTTACAATGATAGGTATGTATTACTTGTAGTGTAAATTTTGAAACGTGACCATTTTAAATAACACCACCGGCGGAACTGGGTTGCACAATTCACGGAGATACAGTTCAGAACATTGTTGAATGTTTCACATGCATGTCTATCGCGTGATACAATTCAGTTTGTAACATCGGAGCGCAGAGAACCGGCCGACGAATCGAATACGATAAAGTTATTTAAATAATTCGATATTCGCAACACTGAAAGAGAATTTTTATCAGGAGTTATCTGTATCGTGTAAAATCTATAAACAAACTACTTTCGGAACAAAAGAAAAAGAAATATCTTTCTATTGAGTTATGTAAACCATTCTTAGTAATATTTAATTTCTAATTTATCTCTTCGTAATTCCTATAATACTGTATCAGGCTCAAAGATACAGATTTCAAATTGAATCTACTATATACTAATTTTTCTTTGATTAGAAAGTCAAAATTGAAACAGAAATTATTTAATTTTCTTATATTTAATTGAAATATCATATACCACTAATATAATCCGACATTATTTATTTTGAAAATCCGTCTTGAAAACTGTCGATCAGCTTTCACATTTATTTCACCAATTAATCGGACAAACAAATCTATCGCGTTTCATTTATCGAATAAAAATCGTTTTAACCCCTTGCTAAGCAGTAAAACAAAATAAAATTTTTAATTTAGCGTAATAAAAATCAATGTTGTTCATTACATATAAGTCAAAATTAGGAACTATTTTCCTATTATCAGTATTTTACCTTTAAAGCAAGCGTGTACTTCCAATAAAAAAGTGATTTCTTCGCGTTCCCTCCAATTTTTAATAATAAAATAAATCCAACAAGTGTGGTCGTAAAGAAAATCACAGCAGAAAGGGTGAATTATACGAATATTTGTTTCTACTACTTCCGAAATAATTAGAACAGTAATAAACTGCAATAATGGCCGCTTCGAGCTGGCGAGGGGATTTCGAAAAATAAGTTAGGTCCAATGAGCGAATCAGCAGAATCCATCGGAACTAAGAAGATAATCTTCGGCGGGAGATAGATTCCCGGCGAAAGTACCTAGGGAAACGATATTAGGGCGTACTCACAGTGCACGTGCAGCATCATCCGTTTGCTGACTGATGGTGGTACTCCGTTACTTGCGATGCATAGGTAGGCGCCCATCTCGCTCCTGGTTACTTTCGACAGAGTCAGCGTTTCCCCTTGGGCGTTAGCCACTGCAATACACAAGCGGATGGAAAGAAATTTCAAAATCCATCGGACCATACTCGATTTAATGACTTTCTGGAAACATAAAATACAATCATCCTACTCGGTCCACACAACCTTGTACTTTTACGATCGACGCGTGGCAACTTGGTACACGCCGCGCTGGTTTTTTAATGCGTTTTTGGTATTGATCACGCGGCCGCGAGTGTCAGTAATGTGTAAATTAGAAATTTTTTACTACTTTGTATTACGTGCGATGACAATGAGTCTATATACGTATAGTGATTCGTGGAATTATTATAATCGTTAATTTTATGTTAGGCAATGTGGACTGAGTGCGAGATTCATTGAATAATTAAATTCATCGGATTTTGATTATTAGAATAGTATTGAATCGATATTAATCTTGAGAAATAGTATTAAATAGTTAGTACTAAACATTCGTAGTTATTTGATACTTTATGAAAGCATTGTTAGTAATTTAATATCTTTTGAGGTATAATATAAGTGATATCTTACTAAGGAGAATGATATTTTATTAATTAAATAAACGAGTAATGAAGATGACTATCGCAGATAGAATTTCTATTAATTTCTCATTTAACGCGTCGCGTTTAAGCAATCTCGTTTCTCCATTTAGCAGAGAATAATTTCCTGGGCGGAGTCAAATAAGATGAGTGTACCATTTAAGATGTCACGTGTAGATTATTTAACGCATTGATATAGCTTACAGCCGAATATTTCATGTTTTATCGTCTTCATCATCTCAATACCGAGTGTTCGTACCAATCGCATTATTAAATATTTTCTTAACCTAATCGTTTGAATAAGATATATTAATTGTTTGAATACTAAATGGTATCAACACTTTCTTACACTTAATTCTGATAATTGATATCCATATTATTATTAATTGTAATGCAATGTTCGCAAAATGTTATATAATATTTGAAAGTTAAAGTATTAAAATTGCGATAAATTCAATCAAAATTAGATATAACACAGTTAAATTACACTATACTCTTCTTGACGTGGTTGAATTGTTTGTGTATCGCGTACATTTCCTCTTCTCATCACGAAATTTTTCATGTTTTGGTTACGGTTACCATTTATAAGAATGTCGGGAACGAAGCTTTACAAAATAACGATCAAATTGCTCTTTCATTCCTCGGCCAGGGAATCCGCTGAAGCATTGTTGAGAATTTGCGTGATTCGTTGTAACACGAGCCAGCTCGGGGGAAAGCTTCGAAATATGAGTGGCGACAATCTCGTTTCCCGTGGAGCGAAAACTCCCGCGGATCCCGCGGATAGAGGGATTGTCATGCGCGGTTCATTTTATTCGAGCGGTGCCTGGTGAAACGCGAGAACAACGGTAATCAGTTTAAAATTACCCGGACAACTGGTACTGGCACTGGATACGGAAATGATTCCAACTTTAAGAATGTAATGTAACGAACAAGGAAAGTTTCGTTAATATATGTAAATAATACAAATAAAAAAGTAAATAATAACATAGATAATATAATTAAGAATCAGTTTTATTGTTTCCTTTGCAAATAGAAAATTCGTTTGCTAACTGCATTTATTAACCCCTCCAAATTTTTTCCAAGCAGAACATATTTCACTGATTTATAACTATATTACATATAAATACAATTTTAATGTTTCACAAATATTCTCAAATAAATTGGTAAAGTGTTACGTTAAACTATATTTAAATCAAGTAACGTTGACAGCAAGCAAATTTGCGATATGAAAAGGCAAGAGCATTTAGAGCTATAAATAGTTATATCCATTAGTTTCATAGGATTTTCATATGTTCTGATGGAAGTGAAACGAGCGTTCCTGGTTATTAAAATAACTGTCGTAAAATATTATAATACGCAAGGGAAGAATGATCTCGGTATTTTCAGCAGTTTTAAACTGACGACGAGATATTTATGAACCTTCGGCGCCGATCGAGCAACTTTTTTGTCGGCGATGCTGATTATGTTGGACAAGAAAAGTTGTTCAAAACTATGTTATGATTTATGATTTTACACGTGCGAGGAAGAATCGAGCGGAGACTTCGATTTCGATATTACTTTATTTTCAAACTCAATCCGGTCGTTTACGAGCTACTCCATTTATATTGGGAATATATTGCCGCATTATGTGCACGTCATTGATTCCGCTATTTCTCAATCTTTTCGTATACCTAGATCGTTCTAACTATTAAAAGTATTTCCTCTTTTAAGAAATTGTCTTTTCTAATATTTTGATTGAAATGTTTTAAGGTCGGAATAGCTAATATTTCTTCTAAAATTTGTTGAATAAACTGAAAAGCTAATATATTCCATACAAATAACAGCGTAATTACTTAGAATTTTATTAATGGAATTGATATTGGAAATGTATAAAAATATTAAAAACGAAAAATGTGTAAAGGAACATAGATAATTGAACACTGTTTTAATATTCTAATAAATTTTATACATACTATTTGATTAAATACTCCATTTTTTCCATAGAATAACATTTTTCAATTTCATTTGCTAATTATAAAATACGGTCGATTTAAGAAGCTTCCTCTTATAATACCGTGGTTTAATATTGTTTTGAATGTTTCGATAACCACGTAAGTGAGGCATCTTATAATTATAAACACAGTACTTACGTTTCGTTTTTCCACCAGAAAGACCATCGCGGGAAATAATTTCGGCGCCGTCTTCTCGTTTCCAAGTGATTTCAGGTTTTGGATATCCGCGAGCCTTGCACACCAATTTGGCGGCTGCGCCCTCGGGTACCATTAGATCGTTCGAGGTTTCCTCCGATATTATATCCGGCGGTATCACCACTTCTAAGAACGCGCTCTGTAAGTTCATAGTATCGATAAATTGTAAAAGCATATTTCTATATAAATTAGAAATTTTTACAATTCATAACACCGGGTTCAATTATGCAAGGCTGTATCACCGTCTCGTCGGTCTATTGCGGAACCATTGAACGATATTCCACATGATATTCAAACAATTTAGCACTTAAAGTGACGGTATTTCAGTCTCCACTATTATTATATTTACTACGTCATGTCGGTGTCATTATTAAATGAACGTGCCATAAATCGTTTCTTCCTAGCGTGTGATGTAATTTCAATTTACTTTTTGCCTTGAAAATTAAACAGTCGGTCGTTTATTAGTAACGAAGCACTTTACAAAAAAGTATGTCAAGATTGTAGGATGCTATACGACACCGTCATTTGATATTTAATGAAACCGATAATATGATCCTTTACGAAATTATCGACACCACATTAATATTTTATCGAAATATTGATTTCTTATTAAATAGAGAAATGAGGTTATCTTTTAAATTCTATTTACGACAGTTGCTCTCATTATTTCCTTTACCCGATTCATAAAATGTAAAATGATAAATATTTCCGTGAAGTATCAAACAGGCATTGATATCTTCAAAAAGAAATATCAAAAGTAGATTAATACAATAATGAACTGAAAACACAGGTTGTGACCTATGTTCAAATATTGTCCGCTATCACGTACCAACGAAAAACAAAACAATAAAACCACGACACAAAGTCGTTATATTAGTGTCATCAACAATTGAAGCAATATCAACCGAATTCTACTCTGTGTCTACTAATACATTTGGCTTCAGAACCAAACGGTATCGCCTAAAACAAAACAACATTGTTCCCGCGGTTATTCAAACGATCGGAATCATCGAGTGTGTTTTAATGAACGGCAACAACGCGGATCGTCGTGTTTTCGACGATGGAAATTTCAATGAAATTGTTGAACATAACTTGCCTCCGCGGCGGTGGGCCGATGGAAACAACTAGGTACTTCCAGGCGCGGAACGGATTTCACTTTAAAATGAATGCCCTCCATGCAAAGGCATCGCGCACAATAAAAATCTGACCCGGATCTAGGGTAAAAAGATTCTCCACTTCTCCGGATATGTACTCTCTCCCCTCCCATCGCTCTCTCTCCTTTACCTTTTCTTTTCATTTTTCTCCTATCTCTCTTTCTTTCTTTTCTCACCCCCCCTTTTTTTATTGTGCGCTTGCCATTCCGAAGGATGAACTTCCCTTACCTGACTCTTCATAGGATTCGTGTTGACCTGACACATATAAATGCCTCGATCTTCCCTGCGCACACCGTGGATGTTCAATGTCCACGTGTTGTAGTCGCTGTGCGTTACTGATAAACGCGCGTTGTTCGTGATCACGTGCTCCTGGATCGCCAGGATCGCCTTGGTGTCCGCCTTGATCCACGCCACCTGGTCTCACAAACCCATTTCTTAACACTTTGCGTGGTTTCTCGCCGACCTACGTCGATCCAGTTTTAAACTAGTCGCTAGCAATATGCACAGGCTCGTTCTTTCAATGCCTTAAAACTAGCTTTAAAGCTTAGTTTGAATTTTGACCCCTTCGTTGCGTGGATTCCGGTGAAGAACACGCGACCATGCATGGAATCACGATTGCCCGCCTTTTGTTTTGAAACGCGAGAAGGAAAAGTTAAGTCTTGACTTTGATTTAATTGAAGAGTTGATCTTCTGTATACATGATTAATTTTTATTTGAAAAATTAGACATGCACGTAATTGTACGGTATTTTTATTCCGCTTTCTATGTTTCGCACAATAATCATATAAATTGGTTGCTATAGAGCTTACGTAATATCAGACATTTTGTATTAGCACAGAAAGTATCATCACACTGTGTATTTTTTTTTTGTAAAATTCTATTGTTGTCGTTGCTTTATGCTTTATATTATTTATGTACATTTTAAAGTAAAAACTCACATAGTTTTTTTATAGTCTTTGGTACTTTTATATTTTCATTCGAGTAAAAGAGAGTTTTAATTTAGTATTAACAAACATGAAAGTATATGTTTTTACTTTTAATCTAGACTAAACAGTTTGAACAATAGAAACCGAATGAAATGCGATTTATCTCGTGACAGCATCAGTGATACTGTTTGTTTCATGCTTTTTATTCTAAGAAAAGCCTTTAAAATTTCAATGCTTTTAACTTAAAAAGATTAAATAGTGTAGAGTAACCAACGCAATTCCATAAAAAGAAAATGTGATTCGCAGATAGCAGATTTTATTCATTCATTCGATCATAGCATATAAAACTCTCCAAATCTTGAAACTGCAAATAGTTCTAAAAGTTTCACGCGCTTTCATTTTAAATTGGCCTCCCCCACAGAATATTTAACATTTTAATAAATAAATTTCTGTTTATTTTCGGTCTCTATAAACAGTTGTATAAAAATATGTACTTTCATAAACATCCATAATTAAGTTACCACATCGCCCGCTGCAGTTCACACATTTATTTCCCCGAAAAATCAAAACCGTTGATGTTTTATTTCTCTTTGAAAAATGGTAATCTTTAAAAAATTTTTTTTATTTTATTCTGTATAATATAATATACAAATGACATTTCAAAAAATATTTACAGTTGGAGAGTATTAACTTCATTTTACAGATCTTGAACCTGTGAAGTCGAATTTTCTTATTTGAAAAGCTTCAACAGTAGTTACAAAAAGTTTAAGCGTTAATCCTTTGCCCTGCTATTTATTCTTCAACCACGATCGATACGATTACTTTATCACTAATAATGTATTGAAAAAAAGAGACAAATTTTAGGTCTTGGTTAGGTCTATGTTTGCTCTAAAGTGTAATAATCGAGAACAGAAGAATAATATTTAATTTGAATTCTACTACTTTATACACGCCTATTCCTATCATAACCGGTCAAATAATCTGTTGTAAAATAAAGGTAAACAAATTAAACGATAAACTTTTCCTAGTAAAAACAGAAATAAAAGGAAAGACAAAAATTAAAGAAACTGATTAATTGGATAATATATGAATTATATTGTACATTTAATATTAAATTCTATTTAAAATCTTCACCACAAGTCTGACGCGTTATCATAAGACAAGCGGTTGAAACACGCAATCAACAGAAACGAAATCAGACGTCAGGTTAATCTGGACGCAGAGGATCGAACCGCTTAAACCGTCAAAAACCGAAAGAAAATAATCCCAGGATCCGTCCGACCTGTCCTTGCGATTGGCCGCGGCTGAATTAAGAGGAGCTCGCCGAAGTTTCGCGGAAAAAGCGCACGATGAACGTCGGATTCCGGGGGTTCGGGGAGGGGACGGAGGGTGGGATGACTTCCGGCCCTTATTCCGCATAGATATTATTGGCATGAAATTGAACCGCCCCGGCATGTCGAATATTTGACCTCGCGTCGCTTTGAAAGGCTATCTATCAACCAACAAAAGAGGTCTGCGGTTCTTATCGATACTCGAAAGCGGAGTGTACAGGGTGGAGAGGTTCGGGATCCAGGTTGAGGGAGGGGAGGGATGGAGAAAGAGAGAGAGAAAGAGAGATAGAGAGAGAGACACACGAACGGGCAGATAGAACCGTGAGGAAGCAGGGAGGGCTTTGAGTGTTTGGTACTGACGGCCCTGTGAGTGCCTCCACTTATAATACATTATACGAGGATAGTAAACCCCTTCCCCTCCTCCCACAGCCTCCGTCCCCGCCAACCATCCCTCTCGTCCTTTTCCTTCTTCCTGAGACTCCCTTACGCCGTGCCACGTCGCGTCGAGAGCTCCAAAAAACGAGCTCTCTTCGAGGAACTGAAAAAGTCTCCCGGACGACAGATGCTCGCGACTCTGAAACATTTATGCCGGTTTCCTTCGTATCCCCTTTTCCTGACTATCCTTTCTTCTCTTTCCCTTGGAGACGTAGCTTCTATCAATTTTCGTATCGACAATTCGTCGGCGGTTTGTCGAATAATGATTAATGACGCAGGTTTTGAAACCGCCGGAGGAAGGTGAGTTGGGACATGTCGAGCTTAGTATAGTGTGAGGCTTCTCGGTCGAGTCATCGTATTTTTTTTTATTTTTCAGCTTTGGAGATTTCGATTGATGTTTAGCTTTGTTTGCTTGTTGTTTTTTACGTTTGTGTTTGGTTGATTTGGATGTTTAGTGGGGGAGGATTTGGGAATTTTGATTGTTGAAGTTGGTTTTTATTTGAGTTTCAGATGTGGGTGATGACGTGTTTGAATTATAGAAGTAAAAAAGGTGTAACTGATAATATTAATTTTGTAATTTATTATTGTTTGTTGTCGTGAGGGTATTGTTTACGATGTCCGGATTTCGATAAAAACTTGAAAGGGAAGAACAAAGGCAAAGTTGATTTAATAATATTCGAGATTTAGAGATCGTTTGCATTTCAGGCATCTTTAAACTGTATAAAGTATTTTTTTATAACTTCACTCGTTTTTTAATTGCTATAGACATTTAAGCGATAATTCTTTAGCAATGTAACATTCGTTCATTGTTATAGTTGCTGTATTTTAATTATAGTGAATTGTAATTCCATTATTGATTAAACGTATAGAACCAAAGCAGTAATTGGCAGTGCATGCGTATTATTAAATCATTGAGAATTGTATATAATTGTTATTCGCAGCGAACATGTTAAGAGTTAATGAAATTATCAGAGATATTATGAAATTAATTGGCTACATTAATTCACCAATAGAATTTCGTACTGTTTATGTAAATAATTCTGTAGCGATGATACAGTATATGACACTTTCTGGCTTACAAAGGTGACTGATTCACTTTCATAATTAACAAACCTGTTCTTTCTAAATATCCTTTTTTAAATATCTCATGTTCGCTTATTTTAAATTACTTTTAAAAAAGTATCTTAATTTTAGTTAAGAAGTTATACCCAGCTTATTAGTCTTAGTGACTGAAAGTTATCTTTGAAACTTTAGATGAAATTTTTTTATAATTTTAGTAGTCTGGCTATTATTTTCCGAATTATAAGAATGTTTATTTCTGAAAAGTTTCTGTCAAACTATTCCCTTTCCTTTCCCGTATTTTGTTGAATTACTAAATTTTATATTTAAAATATTCTATTTTCAAATACCTATACAGTGCTTCAAAATTGATTTTTCTAGTTATATTATAATTATATTATACTTCACGCTTAGAAGTATGATCAATTAATGAAACTTATAAATAGAAATAAAGAAAATGTTAACAAACACAAATTAGAACACTAACAAACATTTCAAATTGCATCGCATGTAATATCGCATATTACATACAAAACCAAAGTTTGAATACGTCATAAATAACTTCGGTTACATTTAACATTTACTTCTTATTATTAATTTGGGTTAAAAGTTTTCATTAATCGTATGCATCTACGTCTGTAATGATTCACAGCTAAATATATAGAATTAGAACATGTCTACACGCAACCGAACTTACACGCTTTACAAACTAGTATCTCCAATGATCGGGATGTCTTAATTTCAATTTACATGTTAACCTTTACTAAATGGAACCTTTAAAAAATATTAACTTCTTGCTCTACAATATAATTTAATGCCAGTTATAATTAAACACTATTCTTCTATCATCAACTGTAGTACTTTACAATAAATGTAGACGTAAGACCCTTCCATCTCCAATGAATCATAAATTATAAAACAATTGTATCCAGCACAATTATAAGAAAATCACAAGACAAGTAATTAAACTTGCATTTCACACATCTAGCAGCACAAACAAGAACCTAAGAAAGAATAAAGCGATCCAATCACGATCTTCCATCCCCTGTCACCATACCAACAAGCGCAGACCCCGAATTACACTCAGATCTCCAAATTACATAACGACCTTTACCCGGGTCCGTAGGAAAACCTTTTCCTCGTTCGAAAACACCGCGCGTCCCGTCGCGTCGTCCTGTCCGCAGTAAAATCCTCGCGGGGTGTTCCGATATAATCCTGGAAGGTCGGGGTCCTCGCAAAGAGAGATCGCAAATTCCCGGCACAATGAACGTGGCGAGCGACTTAAAGGGCGGCCGCTCTATGGAAACGAGTTTATCTCAGGCGAAGGACGCCCCCTTCGCCTAATGCAGTTTCCCTTACGCATTTTCAACTTACGACCCGAGACCGTTTTCCAGCTTCTCGGGGCTGGACCGAGGAGACTGTGGAAGGGAAACACGATCAGGAAAACAGAAAACGGGGGGAGAAAAATAGCCTCG